GTGCCTCTGATAGCTTCACAAGTGTGTCTTATGTTTTCCTTAGGTGGGACCAAATGGGTAGTGTAGACTAGAATTGGATATTTCCCTTCTTCCACGTGGAAGGCTAAAGCAGGTTGAAGTTGGATATTCCCTAGGTTTATATAAAAACCTCTGATAAATAAATTTATCTGTAAAATCACTTATCTTGAGGGCAGCTGCTCTGGTGTAGTTCAATATGGGCGATGGGATTTTTCTTAGATCTTCACTGTAATAACTTAGTAGAACTCTTGAAGATAAAACTCAACAGTGTGGGATCCTCTGTGACTGAGCAACCTGGAGTTTTTCTCTCTCAGACTCCCCTACTCTGAGCTTCCAGCAATTTGTCATTTATAGTTCAGGTTTTCCTACTCAATACCAGTTCCCATGGAACTACTCCAGCAAGTTGTGATTCTCTATRTTCATCTGTCTGCCTTCTCAATTTTGAGGTCAACAGTTTACCTTGTGACCTCACATCTGTGATAGATCTAAGAAAAGAGTTGTAGTTGTTTTCAATTTATTTAGCTTTTTACTTATTAGGATGGAGTGATAAATTCTAATCTTATTCCACATCAAAAACTGGAAGTCCCCTTTCTTTGTGTCCCACATCTTAACATGACAATAAGAAAGCCCAAGTGCTCTCTGCTTCCTGGCCACCATGAAGTGAACACAGTTCTTCTACTACAACCTTCCACCATGTTGTTCTTCCTTACCTTGGGCCCATAGCAGTGGACCGGGCCAGTCATGGACTAAACCTCTAAAACTATGAGCAAAAATAAACTTTTCCTCTTCTTTTTAAAAATTTTTAAAATTTTTTTAGTTGTCACTAGATCTTTATTATTTATTTATTTATTTATATGCAGTGCTGAGAATCAAACCCAGTGCCTCACACATGCCAGGCAAGTGTGCTACTGCTGAGCCCCAGCCCCAGCCCAACTTTTCCTCTTCTTAAAAAAAAAAAAAAAAATTAAAGACAAGAAAGCCCAAGTGCTAGCAGGCATGGTAATCCCAGCATCTCTGGAGAATGAGGCAAGAGGATCACGAGTTCAAGGCCAGCCTGGGCAATTTAGTGAGACCCTGTCTCAATATAAATAAGAATTGGGATTGTAGCTCAGTGATAGAGTTCCACTGGGTTCAAATCCCAATACTGTCTCCTCCTCCTCCTCCCATAAAAAAGCCCAAGTGCTATGGGCCACCTTTATTGGTGCCAGCAGGTGGTTTAAACCATGCAAGCTCCAGTCTGTACAAAGCTTTCACTCTAATCCTACCTTCCACCACCATAAAAACCCAGGCCAGTCACCCTGGGTTAATGGCTCTTTAAGGCCATTTTTGGATCATTTTTATAATTAGAAACCTACCTTGGTCTCCTCCTTAAGTTTCGTTGTGTGTGTAATAAACCTTTTAATATCCTATTAGTGCAATTTTAGCATTTTGGTATATGATCCAGATTTTAGGTGTGAAGATTAAATATTATTAAGAAGGTGATTCTCCCCAGATTGATCTAAAGTTAAAACCCTGTCAGAATCTCAAGAAGCTTAAAATATCTTTTGCAGAAATTAACAAGCTGATTTATTTATTTATTTGGAGAGTCAAAGAACACAGAGAAAGCAAAACAATTTTGAAAAAGAAAAAAATAAAGTTGGAGGACGTATACTTTCCAATTTCAAAACTTACTATAAAACTATAAAACTGTAGTAATCAAGGCACTATATTGGTCTAAGGATAGGTAAGTGAAACAGAATGGAGAGTCCAGAAATCTGTATCTTATATTTCTTGTCAGTTGGCTTCCAGAGATGCCAAACTAATTTAAGAGATCAAAGACTTCAATGTAGGAGCTAAAACTATAAAACTAGAAAGAACATGCAAGAGTAAAACTTTGTGACATTTTATTAGGCAAAGACTTATATATGATAGCATAATTAGTTAAGAAAAAGTTGATGTAAATTGGATTTCATCAAAATTTTATATTTCAAAAGAAGGCATTATTAAGAAAATGGAACTGGGCCTGGTGGCACACCTTTATAATCCCAGCAATTCAGAAGGTTGAGGCAGGAGGATCACAAGTTTGAGGCCAATCTGAGCAACTTAATGAGACCCTATCTCAAAAATAAAAATTAAATATGGCTGAGGATAGGTACCCCTGGGTTTAATCCCCAGTATCAAAAAAAAGAAAGGGGGCTGGGTTGTAGCTCAGTGGTAGAGCGTTTGCCTTGCATGCATGAGGCTCTGGGTTCGATCCTCAGCACCACATAAATAAATAAATAAATAAATAAATAAGAAAGAAAGAAAGAAAAGAAAAAGAGACATGCCCAGAATAGGAAAATCAATCAGCTAGCAAGTGAATTAGATTGCCTAAGAAGAAGTTGGGAACAGGAGTAAATGCAAGCAGACGCAAGAAATCTTTTTGTGAGGACGGAAATGTTCTAAAATATGCTGACCTTTGCACACTGAATCCATTAAATATTTTTACTAAAAAATCATTGAATTGTTCATTTAGATTAATTTTGTGGTATGCAAATTATGCCTCAGTAAAATTTAAAAATATATTAACCGAAGGGACAAAGGCAATGCTTTAGAAAGGAAGAAACAATATAGATTCCTAGAGTGATGCTTTGAAAAATAATTATATTTATAATATTCATATAATATTTATTATATTTATATAATAATTATATTTATAATAGTAACAGAAGTGTAACGTAAGGAATAAATTTAATAAATGTACAACTTCTATGAAGMAAATTACAAATCATAAAATAATAATAAATATGGAGTTGCATTTAATACAGTTAACCCAGTTTCATTGAAAATAATTTAAATCAAAATTAGATTTTTTTTAAAAAAAGAACTTCATACAGTGTTAAAGCCTTTAAAATTCAGATTCTGTGAGCATAGCAAAAAATTTCCATGAATAATTAGGGGATCTTGCAACTATTATAAATTGAAATGTGAATAAAATTACAACAAAAACAGTGGAGTATTGGCAGATCTGTGAAACAGAATTTAAAGATCAGGAACAAACGAAGCACACCCAAACATCTAAACTAGAGCAAAGGTGATTGTTCAGACTGATGGTGAAAGAATCATGGACTGAAACAATTATTAGCTGTTTAGAAAGGAATGAAATTGTAACTATTCATTACAACAAAACAAATTAAAATTCATTAAAATGGTTACGTAAAAAATCCACAGAATATTTGGAGACAAATAGAAGTAGATGTATGTCTTATTTCTAAGTGGGAGTATATGTTAATGTATGTATGTATATACACATGTGTATGTATACATATATAAGTAGGAAATTATTAGCAGACTCAGCCACATAAAAATTTTAAACTTATCTATATCAAGTACTACAGAAGTATGTAAACAATCCCAAAATAACGTAAGCAGGTAATCAGTAAAATCTCTTACACATCAAAGAGAAGGATATCTCAGTTGGAAATAGGAAAAAGAACATGAATTTGTTCTTTCAAATACATGACACAGATAACTTGTAAACCTGKGGTAGAACAACTATCTTTCTCTGCTACTTGGGAAATGTGACTTAAATTAGATACCACTTTTGGTCTATTAAAGTGGGAAAGATAAGAGAACACAGAACAGGGCATTTGCATATTTTTAATGGGAAAGTAACAGTGCAACTTTTTTGAATAGCAGTCTAGTAATTTAAGTCAAAAGCCTTTGTGGGGAATGGGTGCACACCTGTAATCCCAGTGGCTTGGGAGGCTGAAGCAGGAGGATCTCGAGTTCAAAGCCAGTCTCAGCAACAGCAAGGTGCTAAGCAATTCAGTGAGTCCCTGTCTCTAAATAAAATACAAAATAGGGCTGGCTCAGTGGTTGAGTGCCCCTGAATTCAATCTCTGGTACCCTCCCCCAAAAAAGAGCCTTTAAAATTTTTGTGTCTTTTGTCCTAGGAATTCCATTTCTATGAGTTTATTCTAATGTACAAAGATTTATGTACAGGAATTATTGCACCTTTATTTAAAACATCCATAAATAGAATACCTATGATGGACAATAATTTGTAGTACATCCATGGAATAGAATTGTGGAAGAAAATTTAGTGATATGAAATTTAATAATGTGTTCAAAGAAAATAAAAGGTGTAGTATGTACAGTGTGGCCCCATTATAAAAAGATTTTGTTTGTAAGACTAGGAAATAAGACCAAATTACTATCTCTGGGTAATGATTTTTGTTCTTGTTCACTTAGAAAATGTAAAGAATAAATATAGAATATTCAAATAAAACTATAAGCCTCAAATATTGCCATTCRTAATGGTATTAGTTGCATTGTGCTTCTTGAAAGAGGAAAATGAATGAACATAAGATGTATGCAATCCCAGTGGAAATTAAAGAGGTGCATACCATTCCATCGGCCACAAGGGGGCACTGTAGGCCATTGCTTTGCAGGCCTGTCTGAGCTGCAGTGCAGCTGCAGACTGGATGAGGCTGGGAAAAGGCATTAGCCACTGGGGCTACTTGAAGATTTGGTTTTTGTTGGGGGTGAACTTTCCCTGAAAAAGGAAGAAATAGAAGAGATGGAAGTGAATAAAATGCAGATTTTAAAATGTAAATAGACAAACACCGAGCAAAATGAGAAGAGATTGGATCCATTAAAATAGCGTTTATTTATTTATTTATTATTTAAATATTTATTTTGTTAGTTTTAGGTGGACATGATATCTTTATTTTATRTTTATGTGGTTCTGAGGATCGAACCCAGTGCCTCATGCATGCCAGGCGAGCACTCTTCCACTGAGCCACAACCCTAGTCCCTAGCGTTTATTTTTGTAAAAGAGATTTCTTCTTTTGAATCTGCAASGTAGATGGAAAGTTATGTATGGGCTATTTTCTTGTAGTGGTATGTTAATAGTAGGCTCAGGAAGCTCACTTAGGGGACTGTATTATAGAAGGAAAAATTTAAAATGGAATTATTGTATTCAAAGATTATTTAATTTTAACTTTATTCTTTTTAAATAGCTGTCACTGGAGGTCTTTTCAGAATAAATTTAGGCATTCGAGGCCTGGTGGCTGGTGGTATAATTGGAGGCTTGTTGGGGTAAGTGTTAAAATGATCRTATTTTAAATTTGTACATCTTTTATTAGTGCCTTGCCTATTAAAATTATCATTCATTTTCAAAGGACATATTTAATAATGAGAGCCTATAAAAGATTGTTAGTTTTGTATTGGCAGTGACTTTGTCCAATTCTAATTCTACCCTAATTGTTTTTACATATCACAATAAATAATTTAAGATTGATTTAATACAGCTATCGAAGATAGAGTCTATATTCAAAATTCCTTTTCACTGAACAAAAACTATTTATATATCACTAATACCTGAGATTATTTGTAATTTGAATGAAGGTAGTTAGAAGGAGCTGGAAGAATAAAACAGTTAATAGGCACATTTTATGAAATTTTTTGGTTAGGTTTGGTTTAACTTAATAGATTAATTTTWTTCCCAACATTTAATTTTGAACAATTTCAAACCTGCAGAAAAGTTGAATGAATTAGTATATTCCTTTCACCCAGTTTCACCAATTGTTAACATCTTGCCACATTTGTTTTCTGTATCTCTGTATATGTGTGGGATATAAGTATGTTTTTTCATTTCCTTTTTTTTTTTTTTTTCCTTGAATAAAGCTTTTGAGACCTCATGATACTTTACCCCTAAATATACCAGTGTCTCCTAGGATGAAATCAAAATACAATTATTACAATAAACATTGTTCTAATACTACTAAGATAGGATCCATATTCAAAATTCCTCAGTTATCACTATAATGCTCAGATTATTTCTCAAATAAATTTGATTGTCCCCTTATGATTAGATTTAGGTTATGTTTTTGGGAATACAGCATAGGTGAAGCAGTACCCTCTTTGTATCACATCAAGAGACATGTCACCCATTTTAAGTAATATTAACTTTAATTACTTGATGCTTTGGTTTTATATTGCTGTGTAACAAATTACCACAGACTAACTCCTTAAAACAATACTCACTTATTATCCCACAGAACAGAAGTCTCGTGAGCTTGCTTATTTATTTATTTATTTATTTATTTTAGTTGTAGATGGACACAATACCCTTTATTTTGTTTAGGTTTTTCGTTTGTTTGTTTTTTAATGTGGTTCTGGGAATCATACCTCAAGCATGCTAGGCAAGCAGTCTATCACTGAGCCACAACCCAGCCCTGGATGAGCTTATTTGCTTAGGGTTTCACAAGGTAAAAATCAAGGCGTTAGCCAGGCTGTGCTCTTATCTCAGGGTTCTGGAGAAGAATCTGCTTTCAAGCTCATACAGGCTGTTGAAAGAATCCAGCTCTTCATGTCGATAGGCCCAAGGTCCCTGTGTCCTTGCTTCCCATGAAGCAGATGTTGCTTTCTATTCCTTGAGGCCACCCACATTCCTTCCACAGGTCCCCTCCAGTTTGAAACCAGCAGCAGCACCTTGAAACCTTCTTGTACTCCTTGTACTTTGAATCTTCTGCATCTGTCTGCCGGATGAACTCAAATTTAACTGAATAGTCACCTTAATTATATTTGTAAAATCCATTTTGCCATGTAACTTAATGCAGTTATAGGCATAATATCTCATCCTGTTCACAGTGAAGGAATTAAGAAAGCAAATTTGGGGAGACTATTTTAGAATTCTGCTAAGGCAGTATCTACTAAATTTATCCATTGCAAAGGTATTCCCTTCCAGTCATGAATACTAAGTGTCTGTAGAATAAGACTATGTTAATATCCTACTGTCCAACTTTTTCCTCTAGTGGCTTTTAWGATCCATTAATGATCCATGCTGTAATTGACTATGTTTACAAACTATTGTTATGATAATTCTATTAATCCTTCTGTTTTCATTAGTTGACATTCATATGAATAAAAAAACGTTCTCCTTTCTCTCTTCCTTTTTCTCTTCCTATCTACTTCCTTTTCCCACCCCTTTTTCAGGAGGGGGGGTAATACTATAGATTTTGGGGTTCTTTTTAAAAATTTTAATTAAAAAAATTCAACATGCCACATCCACTGTTGACATTATTTTTGTTGTAGTGGTAATATACCAGCTTGACTTATAGGGGCAAGGTATTGAAGTTAACTGCAAATTTTTTATTATAAAATCATATTACATAGTTTTTACCATCTTAACGATTTTCTAAAAATATTCTTAGTTGTAGATGGACACAATGCCTTTGTTTATTTGKTTTTTTTTTTTTTAATGTGGTGCTGGGAATCGAACCCAGTACCTCATGCGTGCTAGGCAAATGCTCTACCACTGAGCCACAACCCCAGCCTCAATCTTAACCATTTTTAAGTGTACTGTTCAGTGATGTTAAGTACATTAACAAAGATGCTTTAATTATTAAAGTTCTTTTATCTGATAGTGAACAAGTGGGTCAGTGCTGTTACTTAGTAGAGTTGCTCACATGTCATGGGGTCTGAGGACTCTTTCCCTAAGCTTTCTCTCCACTTTCCCTCAGCACTCCTGTAGGAGGCCTGATGATGGCACTTCAAAAGTACTATGGTGAGACTGTTCAGGAGAGAAAACAGAAGGATCGAAAGGCATTCTATGAGCTGAAACAGGAAGAATGGTAAGGAGATGTTAAGACTAGGGGATCTGGCTTTCCAATTTCAGCTGTTTGGTGGGTGATGCTCTGCTGACCCAAGTACTCTAACTTGCCACCCAACACAAAAAAGGGKKTTTTTTTTGTTTTTTTKGGGGGGTGGGGTTGATACTAGGGATTGAACCCAGGGGCTCTTAACTATTGAGCCACTTCCCCAGCAATTTTTATTTTCATTTCAAAACAGGGTCTCACTAAGTTGCTTAGGGCCTTGCTAAATTGCTGAGGCTTGCTTTGAACTTGCAGTCCTCCTGCCTCAGCCTCCCAAGTTGCTGGGATGACAGGCATGTCATGTCATTATACCCGGGTAAGAAAAGTTTACTCTTCTTGGTCTTATTCTCTTTAATTAAGGAGAAAAGAAACATGAAAGGCACTAACTTTAATTTCAGTTTGGTGAGGATCTTTCTTTAGATACTTTGTAACCTAAAGTTTCATTTGGTTGCATATTTTTCTTTTCCTATGTTCTTGACTACATACAAAATTACTTAAAAGTAATACACATCAAGGGGCTTTACTTGGCTTGTTTAAAAAGTGGTAGCCCCTATGTTGTTTACATCTATAGGAATACAAAACATGTTAAATTCCTACATTCAAAAATTATACATCAGCCAGGCATGGTGACGCACTCCTGTAATCCAAGCAGCTTGGGAGCTGAGGCAGGAGGATCACCAGTTCAAAGCCAGCCTCAGCAAAAGCGAGGCACTAAGCAATTCAGTGAGACCCTGTCTCCAAATAAAATACAAAATAGGGCTAAGGATGTGGCTCATTGGCCAAGTGCCCCTGAGTTCAATCTCCAGTGCCAAAAAAAAAATTTTTTTTTTCCTTCTTGCAGTAGGCACAGAGGAATTGAATAGACATAGTGGCTGTTAATGAATGGGATGTCACTGAGGAAGGAGCATGAAAATTTTTGTGTATCCCACCTGGTCATTTCCTGGGGTACACTAATTTCTATTTACTGGGTAGGGTATTCAGACTTAGTGCAGACTCTGTGCAGATTCTATGTAAGATTAGCATAATGAGCTGCTGTCTAGTACTCCTGAGTACATATGGCTTCCTTCACCATGACACCATCCGTTTTGATAATGTGGGAATCATGTGTGATTGGCTTGTGAGTGGAACAGGTCAGGAGAGAGAAAAGTCATTGTATATGAAACTCAAGGAATAGTGTTTGCTCATAAGTTGCCTACCAAAGCAGGGAAAGTAAGACAAATAATTTTTGTTTTAAATCTCTGTAAGAACTAAGAAATGGATAACTTACATCCTTTTTACTCTTTGATTACAGGAAAGCCAGACTGCAACTTACTGAGCTCCTCCCTCAGGAAATTGAAAACAGCCTACAGAAAAATCAATCTGAGGAGGATGCTAAGAAAATTGAAGTCCTGCTAAACCTTCCTAGAAACCCTTCATCACCAGATAAACAAGATAAGGATTGAGAATGTTCCAGACTTGAAACTCATGGGAGAGTCAAAGGAGCTATGTTGCTGTAGCCATGAATGCCAGTGCCCGTCTCCTCTGGCATTGGACCAGCCTGCTGACACATGTATGCACTGGCTCCTGTAGTGGCAGTGACTTGCTCCTCTCTGTTTTTTTAAATCAAGAATTGAGCTGCTCAATTCTCATTTTATTTATCCTTAAATTTAAATACATACTTATATCTGTATTGATCTTTTGACCCATTTGTATGCTTATATTTCTTTACCCTGGATTTTACAAATATAAGTAAAAAAATTCCCAAAGTATTAAAGTTGAATTCTATAGGCTGTATATTTGCTCATGTAGTCCTTTGATGGGTACCTTAACCTGGTGTGCTGGTGCACATCTATAATCCCAGCAACTTGGGAGGCCAAGGCAGGAGGATTGCAAATTTGAGGCCAGTCTCAGCAACATAGCAAGGCCCTAAGCAACTTACTGAGATCCTGTCTCAAAATTAAAAAAAAAAAAAAAAAAAAAAAACGGGGGGTGGGGGGGTGGATGTGGCTGGAATGTAACTCAATAGTAAAGCACTCCTAGATTCTATTCCCAGTTACCACCTCCCACCAAAAAAACAAAAACAAACAAACAAACAAAAAAAACTAGGTATCAGCAGGAAAAGAAACAACCAGCCAGCAGGACCAGGCTGTAATTGAAGGTCGTCTGTAAAACTCTTGGGCCCTTGTGGGCTAATGTATAGTAGTGTTTTGCTTTGTTCTAATAAGAATCAAAGATGACTTCTATGCCATTTGAAATAAAATACAAAGTTAACAAAAAGGAAGTAAGTCACATTATTGAAGAAACAGTCTGACTTTGTTTCCTCTCAGTTTTGCTGATAAAAAGTGTGTGCGTATTGTTGCAGGAGCTGTGTAGAAGAGAGACACCATACCTACACTTGGAGCTGCTGCCTAAGAAAGCTGTCTTGCAGATTTCAGCAGTTAGTAAATGAGAAGGAAACAAAACTGGACTAGGTGTTCAGCATTCCCCACCTTGGAAGTTCCACTTTCAGACTATGGTCTGAAAATATTAAATGAAAAATTCCAGAAATAAATAAGCAATAAGTTTTGAGTTGTGTGCCTTCCTGAGTAGAGTGATAAACTCTCATGCCTTGCCTCCCAGGACAGGAATCATTCCTTTTTCCAGCATGTCTATGTTCTACCCATTCATTCATCACTAGTAGCAACACCTATGTAAAGTTCTGAATTGTCTACAGTTTCAAGCATCCATTGGGGGTTTTGAAATGTATCTCGGGGAGACTACTATATAAAGGGGGGAAAGCTGCTAGTATTTTGTTTTAGTGTTGGGCCTCTCTGCTCCTACTTTAAGAATACTGTTGTTCCCCAAGAGTTAGGTCTACGGAGATGGGTAAATAGTAGCTACAGTCATGGGCTCCAGAAGCAGAACACTGGCTCTCCATTTCAGCCATGTGAACTATAGCAAAGCCATTTTACTTTACCTCTCAGATTTCTCAACCTGCCAAGAAATAGCATCTTCTTGAGATTGGATACTAAGTGAAATTATTTAGGTCAAGTATAATATTGTGAATTGTATATTTGGTCTTTATCCTTGACATACAACTCCTAAAATCCTTGGAATCTCCAAAGAGATCATGTCTTTTTGTATGTGAATTAGTTGAGTGATAGCTAGCATCCATCTCCAGAGGGGATGTGGCTGTTCACCCAGAAGACCCAAGCAGAAGTGGAGGGCAAGCATTTTTAGTCCCACCCCACAAACTCTGGTTAAGGGGAAAGGAACCAAAGGTTAAGGTTGATCACCAATGGCCAAGGATTTAATCAATCAGGCATATGTAATAAATCCTCTATAAAATCCCCCAAAGGACAGGGATTGGAAAGCTTCCAGATAGCTGAACCTGAGGAGGTTCCTAGAGAGTGGCCTGCCCAAAAAGGGCATGGAACGTCCGTGCCCCTTCTCCCTGCTTAACTATGCATCTCTTCATCTGTTTCCTTTGTAATATTATTTATAATAAACCAGTAAAGTGTTTTTGTTCTATAAGCTATTTAAGTAAATTAAACCTAAGGAGATGTCATGGGAACCCAACTATATAGCTGGTCAGTAGGAAGCACAGGTGCAACAACCTAGGGCTGGCGACTGGCATCTAAAGTAGGAGCCCTTGTAAGGTGATACCAGAGATTGGAACTTTTGACTTAGTGCCAGCCAGTAAGAATGGAATCTGAGTGAAGTAATATGGAGAGCAGGCTGTGCCCTGCCTTGAGTTACTCCATGATGACTAGAACAGCAGTTTTCAGGACCTGCCTACCTCTGAACTACTCCATTTTGGAAAGCAGTAATTTGCTAGGATTGCTCTGTTTTGAGTGTAAATGGGCTAAAATAGAATGACAATATCCCTTGTTCGTACCTGATGTGTACAAAAAACCCCACCATCTGCACAGCATAACCATAAGGCACAAACTGATAAATTAATAGTGCTAATAAAAATGACTACCGGTGAATGTATTGATTTAAATCAGAAGCACATGGATGCATGAGCTTATCAAGAAATTGAGACCCATGAACTTATTATTCTCACCAGATACAACCCCCTTACCTGAAATTCACGAAAGGAAAAGCATCCCAAAACTGGTTATGGGGGCCCATGGGGCACCTACCAACCTGCCAACAGACCATCAGAGTCCCCAGGTTTCCACTCAGCTTGATCTTCCTGTTTGATGCAGCCCACTTTGAAACTGCTTGCCTGCTGTCTGGACCTTGGCCTAGAATAAGTTCCCTGCTCTGGACCCTGAAGTTCTGGGGATGTTTAGTAATTCCAATCTGACCACTTGCAGTATCTCTTGAGTTTGTATTTGCTGTCTGTCTTTACTCTCAGAGCAGCCCCCTAGAACTCTAACCACCTTAACCCTTCTTCACTTTTCTGCAAGCTATATACCTTATCAGTGTGTAAGGTGCCATGTGTGACTTGAATGTTCTAGATCCTAGTAATTAAGATTGGAATGAAAGAACCTGACTTGTTCCTACCAAGGGACCCATTCAGTACTTGAAGAATGGTAACCTATGAAAGTGATACAGCTTGTGAATTTGTTATTATTCAATAAATTGTGACCCTGTGGGAAGTCACAAATATGTCCAGTCTATATTAATGGCMCAACCTTATTACTTCAAGTGAGCAGGAGTATATAGGCAAAGCATTGGGGGCAGGGGCAGAGAAGGAAGGGCCTTTGCCTCCAGCTGAAGGGAACAGCCAAGTGTGGGAGGCCAACCTTAAGGGTGACTGAATTACTCCCCAGCTGGGTGCTGAGGCGCTCAGTCACAGAAATGGGTGTRTCTTGCTACAGCCCCATGGGTGAAGCTATGCTCACCTGTTCCTTTGTAATAGAACCCCTTGCCCTGTTTAGGATAGAATCTTCCATGGAAGTGCCTTGTGTGTGTCCCCTTCTCTTATTGTGCCCTTGGGTGTGGCCTACTCAGATGTCAGTCAACCTGCTGACAGTGGACATCATGAAGACAGACTCAGCCCCCTGAAACCTGACCCCTTGCCTCATTTGAATAGCTTCTCCTCAATAAAAGGGGTCAGAGCGTGTGCTCTCTCTTTCTGTGGACCCTTAAGGTCAGAGGAGCCGTCACAGCACCCCCAAAGAAAAAGGTATTTGTGTCTCTTGTGTGATTATTTCGTGCAGCCCAGTTAGCCCAGTTTAACTAGAGTGACCCCTGAGCCTTTTAGTCTTGAGAACAGAAAACCGGCAGCCAAGATTGAAAGAGAAGTCAAAACTGCCTGTGAACACAAGATTGGCCCAGCCTTTTATTGAGTGACTAGGGCTGGGAGAGTCAGGGTTTTGGGGTTTTTTTTGCTGTTGTTCTTGTCTTTTGTGGTACAGTGGATTGAATGGGGGAGAAGTGTGGGGGGTTAATCTTTCTTCCATTGATCTACATCCTGGCCCTTTTATTTTGAGGCCAGGCTGGCCTTGAACTCATAATCATCCTGTCTCAGCTTCCCAAATAGCAGGGATTACAGGCTTGTGCTATCTCACCCAACTAGGGTCTGATCCTTTTATGATAACTTATTTGAGAAGTTTCTTTCTTGTGGAAGAGACTTGTGGAACAGGAGTCATAAATAACATAGGAACACAAGTTGACTACTTCCTTCTTTTTAATTCTGTGCTGATTTTGAAAGACCCTCCGTTTCCCTGTCCAAGGAGAATCACACGAAACACTGGCTGCAAAAGCAAGAGGTGGTTTATTGAAACACAGGCGCCTGCGGGTGCCCAGTAGAACCTCAGCCGGAGCTTTGGTGAACTGGCACACGGGCTTGGGGATACAGAGATTTTTATAGGGTTTAGGACAGGTTTCGCGCGCGCGGGAAGCAACAGGTTTCTTATTGGTTTCTTTAAATCTAGCATATAGGCCACCTAGGGGGTACAGGTCTGCATTCCAAAAACCACATAATTGCACTCTGCTCTTTCTGTTCCTGCTTGTTCAGGCATGTCCTGGGGCCTGGCTTTCTGTTCTTTCCCAACCATCCTGTTCTCAACTGGCTACCCTTAACTGATCATCAGATAAACATCTCCGGTGCTTGTGTAGGGTCCTTCAATTTCAGAAGGGTCCAGAAATACCATGGAGGCAGAGCCACTTTTAGGGATCTAAGGAAGCCCTATGGAAGACTATTATTACCTCAGATATAGTAATGTTGATAGCGCCGGTTTTTGGTGACAAAACTACTTCCTCACATGTTGAAGTTTGAACATTACCTAGGCAAGCATATAAAGCAGGGTTTATTTAAAGAGAGCAGCACAGTTTCTCCCAGGAGGGAGCTGGTATCCTGGTATACCAAGAAATGAGGGTGTCCTGCCCCTTTTATACATCCTAGACTTTCTTTGTTTTCCTACCTTCTTCCCTCTTTTTTTTTTTTTTTTTTTTGGGTGGTGGTGCTGGGGATTGAGCCAACAGCCTTGTGCAAGCACTCTACCAACTGCAAGCACTCTACCAACTGCAAGCACTCTACCAACTGCAAACACTCTACCAACTGAGCTATATCCCTATCTCCCCACTTCTTCCCTCTTAGTTCTCTTTTTCTACACATAAGACTAGGCTCTGGAGATGGCCCTGTGGGATGGCCAAAGGGTGAGAAGCAGATGGGCTGGGTTAAGAGCCAAATGGAGTGATCTGGGCAGGAAGCAACCCTGGAGGTATTAATTAACAACTTCATAACTCCCTGTAGGAGAGGGACAATTCCAGGGACAGGTTATCTTAGCAACAGATTGGGAAGGGGTAGGTTATTTTGATAAGGGTGGAGGAAGGGCTCTAAAGGCATTAACATTTCAATCCCAGCCTCAGCAACTTAGGGAGACCGTGTCTCAAAATAAAATTTTTTATATCTCAAAATATAAAAGGTTGAGGATATAGCTCAGTGGTAGAGTGCCCCTGGGTTCAA